GCCACCGACTGCGGCCTGCTCCTCGGGGAGCCTGCCGGTACTTGCAAAAATACACGAGCAGTAGGCACGCGGCGTTTGCTTTTCGTGAGTCAAGCACAGGCAAGGTCTGCATAGCCTTAGTTTGGACAGGCAATATTGTTATTTCCTAATTTTCTTCTTGGTCACCGTGCGTTGGCCATGGCTCTGCTCTGTGGTGGACTCATGTCGTTGTGTGCACCTCGGAGGGGCTGGGGGCGAGGTACAGAAACCGGCGTTGTCGTAGGCATTAGAAAAGATGTTGGTTTTAGGAGCAAATTCCCGAGCCCTACGTGCTGCCCACCGGTTCTGTCGGGAGCAGTTTTCCAGGAGGCAGCACCGCAGCCGCCGACCTCGGCTGCTTCAGGAGAGCCGGGACGTGTCCGAGTGCGGCCCCAGCCCCGGCGTGCTGCAAGGGGCATCGGGGCTGGGGCACGGGCAGAAGGGTTTTGTTGACATTGTGCTTGGTTTCTATCTCGGCTGGTTCAGCGGAGGCAGAGGGATTCTCTGGTGGGGTGAAATGAATCCAAACGAGCAGGCGAGCGGTTCGTGAGACAGCAGAACGAGGAGAAGAAATATCTTCCGCAGGAGCCAGTGGCGTAATCACTTTATTAACTAATCCCCGAAAGAGCTCGTTTTGCTCGTGCTGGTGGCAGCAGCAGAAGGGAGGAAACTTCTCCAGGTGTTTCTCCAGGGGCGGCCGGCGAGGAGGGTGACGGTACCTCAACCAACCGTCCGGGCCTTGGAACTCTGATACCTTGGCAGTTGTCGTCAAAACCAATAGAAGCTTATCAACCCCTGCAAATTGATAAGGTTGTAAGTAACGTTATATGTAAGATACAATTTCCTTCAGGAAAGTTAATAGACATCCCTTCCCGAGCAGGTCAGCAGAAGATTTATAAGAGTATTGACTTTCTTGAGGCGTGGAGTCAATCACAGTGGGCTTTGGTCGTAATTATACATCTAAATACACCCCCGGTTTGCTCACCGCTGCCGTTCCCGGTGCCAGACGCCGAGGTGGGGTCGTCACTCACCGAGCCGTGCTCTCATCAGAGCTCAGCTGGAAGAGCACGGAGCCCCTTGATCAAAGGAGAGCGATCGAGCTCCTCTTCACCACCTTAAAATTTGCCTGTTCTTCTGTCACGGAGAGAGCGGTTTGTTAATTATTTAGATAGCAGACATTTCATCTGGAAAAGAAAAGGAACACCACATAAAAGGGAATTTTTGAATGAGGTGTGATAATTAAGTGCTACTAGTCATTGTATATTTTTGTATCCCGATGTTATCTGAACTTTATTTTACTTCAAACTGGTTTTTTCCATGGCTTTGTGACCTATATTGTACAAAGTAGGAAAACTCTGGCAAATAAGGTGCAGCTCCATTATGTAAAGACTAATCACCCGTTTTTCTGTGCAATTATTTGGAGATCGTGTCTGTGTTCCCAGGCGGCCTCTTGGGGAATCTGAAGGGAAATGGGATTAAATTAAGGTCGTGGGTTACTGGTACCTGTCAATTCACAACGTGAAGATGTTTGAATGGGCTGACTATTGAATATTTTTTTTTTTTCATCTGTGGCAACTTACAATTACTACGGCTTTCCCCATTCTTTCTGAGACCAAATAAATTGAAAAATAAGAATCCTGAGATAATGATAAATCTGTCTGCCTCTCTTGAGAAGTGGATGACTTTGCATGTTTTGTTTATTCTCCGCTGGCAATTTTTCCTGCAAGTAGCAATTTAAGCAGGATAAGTTTAGCAGGTTTAGTCACAACAGTGATAAGACGTGCATCTGCAATGAGAGCATCCTCCTTTCCCAGCTAGCGAAATAGCAGATAGTTGAGGAACAGTCCTGCACTATCCTTTCACGCTGCTTTTTTTTATGAGAAATGGTAGATTTCCGAGCAGTACCATCCAAAATATCCAGTGGGACCCTGTAACTGCTGCTAATTATTCCCCGTGTCTAATGTGGGATCTGCCCCAGGGTCTGCTGTTATTCAGATGGTGACAAGCTCATGTCTGAACGTTTCCCTTTACAGAAACCACTCTGAGCTCCCTAAAGCAGCCGCACACGGATAGTGGCCCCGTTGTACCCTCACCGCATCAGCGGAGAGACTCGGACAGATACTGCCAGCTCTGCGCAGCCTGGTTCAACAACCCCATGATGGCACAGCAGCACTACGATGGCAAAAAGCACAAGAAGAACGCGGCCAGGGCCGACCTCCTGGAGCAGCTGGGGAAGACCCTGGACCTGGGAGAGCTGAGAGGTGAGAGCACCGGTATGCGGAGAGCAAGGACCCGCTCCCTGTGGGATCTAGGGACCGCAGTGATGCCGCCCTTGCCTGCCGTGGTCACTGTTCCTCTGGTCGAGCAGGGTAGACCGTGGTACTCCTACTGCTTTATGAGGTTCCTGCAACCGTAAAAAAAAATCCCCTCCTCTAAGAGGACACCCTGCAGTTTTAGCAGCATCCTTTAAAAGTTGTTTCCTAGGTATTTCTTTTGCCCTTCCCTAAAATAGTCCCTTCCATTAGCGCACTCTTTTATCCTCCAGCAAATGCGGACCGTCCCTGTGAGCTGAGAGAGGAGAACGCGTTAAAGCACTCGGCCCCGCAGGGAGACGGGGACGGGATGCGTGTTGCTGGAGGCAGAGCACTCCCTACGTCTCCCTGATGGAGAGCGGGGCATTAGCTGTCTTCTGTGATTTAATTAGTGCTTGTAAACCACTGCAATGGCCCTGGGTCAGCAGCAGCAAAGAGGAACCGAGCATTTGCTATGGGTATGTTAAACACAAGTGTTCTGTGTTCCCGCTGAAGGGAGAGCAGCCGTCCATCCGTCTGTCCTGGCCCTGGCAGGAGCGGCTCTGGCACCCGCAGGGTCCCCATGGGGGGGGCTGCACCCCGGGCTCACCCAGATTTGGGCCTTGCACCCCTCCGGGAGGGAGCCCCCCTCATGCGGAGCGGAGCCGCAGCCTGGCCGGTAGCGGTGGCTGCCAGAGCCCCCGAGCATCCCCGGTCCTCCCGGGCTAGCCCCGCCTGGCGCTGATGAAGGACCGGCTCCGTCACGCTGTGCCTGCTGATGGAGAAGTGCTGATTTGTACCGGCTGAGGATGCGGCTAAGACTGAATTCTGAACAAAGTGCCTTTTTAATGTAGAGGTGTAATTACAGGGGGAGAGGTACGAGCCTCCTGTTGAAATTTTTCTCTGTGGCCTTTATTATAATCCTGTGTGCACACAATGTATTTGACTGAAGCAGGCTGAGGAAAAAGTGCAGGTTTGATTTTCAAAACCATGCGGGAGAGGAAGTCTGGTTTGCCAGCAAGACATTGCATTAACATTTTAAAATACCTTTTTGTCCCCCCCCCCGCCCCAGCTAAATGAAATAATTTTCCTTTAAATACTAATGACTGTGCAGTATATTGTGCATTTCTTGATCTCACATAAACCTTGTAATGGTTATCCAGATCCTTCGTGTGTTACCTAGTGTGACTCACAATGCCATAAATGATTCATGTGGCTGAGTCACTGCCCGCTGTTGAAAATATGCAGGGAAATAAAACCTGGGACAATAACATGGAAGTGCTTAGTACTTTGAACTGTGCCAAGCTCGAGAGTGGCTGAGGATGTCATTAACTGTAAATAAAGCAATTGTGAAGTGTTTTATTCATTTAGCTTGTGCTTAGGAGAGTTGAAATTGGAGGGCTTTACATACTCATCAGCCCCCGTGGGATTTTAACTTTACGGTGGCTCTGTGCAGGGTTGGGATTTGCGGACGAATCTCGTGCGGTGCTGCCGCTGTCCATCGATGGGGGACTGCAGAGCCGTGCCGTGGCTGTCGACGTCCCGGGTACAGGGGGAAGCAGCTTTGGGCCTCCGGTCGGACAGTGCCAGGAGTCTGCGGTTCATGGGTGGCCAGTGCTTTCTAACGCTGACGAGCTGCACGGCCAGGCTCGGTGAGCCCAGGAAGGTGTCCTTGGGTCCTGCGAAGCTTGCCTCTGCTGCTGGAGTAGTGGTGCAGCTGGGAAATCCTGCTTTTTTACAGCTTTTCCTAACTAGGGAGTGCGGTATGGTCTCCTGTACGCCTCTAGCTGTGAGACTAGAGCAGATCTCTCTGGATGTAGAAGGCAGGTCTCTGCAATAGCCCACACGGAACGAGATCTGCCTGATGTCCGAGAAAACAGCCTTACCTTGGCAGATAAAGTCATATCTGACTCAAGAAAAACGATAACCGTGGCGGATCAGAGATACCCAGCGGCAGTCTGTCCCGTTGTCTGTGAAATCTTGTCTGACCGTTGCTTCCGATGCCCGGCGGGTTTGGCGTTGGGCGGTACCTGGTAGGGATCGTAGCTGTGTGCTCTCCTCGCTCGGCGCTTGTTTTGCTACCTCGGTATTCGCTAGAATGCAAACTCATTTCCTTTCCACGCTACCCCCGGTGGCTTCTCCCATCACAACTTAAATATTAATTCTATTTTGACTGCTGTGGGAGACAAACATTTGATGCATTGTGTGAGCCTGGAACAAGCAGTGTCAGTTGAAGTAAAACATGCCAGCAGCCTTTGATGTTTTGATAATGGCTATAATAAAATATTTATTGATAAATATGAATGTGTATTTGGAGGAATAAGAATAGAGATATATTTTTGGACAACTGATATTTATAGGAGACAAAAGCATTGATTCTTCTTGCCAAGTGCTCATCCTGCAATTTTGAAGTCTTGTTTTCTTCTCAGAAATGAGAAAGAGGAGAAAGAAAAGGGAAAAGAAACCTCGCTAACAGCACGGCCACGCAGTCCGCACGCTGCGCGGGTTATTCGGCAGCGCACACCACTGCTCTGGGCAGCATCCAGCCCGGTCTCTCCAAGCAGCGGCATGCAGGTTTCCAGCCTTGCCAGCGCAGCCGGTCCGGGACCCCCTGCTCCGAGAGCGGGATGGGAAACCCCCTCCGCTCTTACTCGTTAGGGGAGCGCGTGGATGTACCCTGACAGAGGAAGAAATGAAGAGTTTTCTTCCTGCAGAGCTGCCTCCTCCAGCTGCCGCCGTGCCCCGGCCGATCCCGGAGCAGATCATAAAAAGTCAAAAACCGGTGGGTATGGTAACAAACCCTGAATTCTGGGCTCTGTCCCCGGCAGCTTGTGCCCGTCCGGCAACGCGGAGCAGAAGCTGCTCCGTCGGAGGCACCGGCGCGGCTCCGTCTGGCAGCTCTCGCCGTCCCGCAGCCTGCGCTGCGTTTGTGCTCCACCGTTTCACCAGTTTAACTTCACGTCTGGCGTTATCCATCGCTGAGCTCTCTTTCGTTCCTGCTCTGACGCGGGTGGGCTCTGCAGGGGCAGAAGCCTCGCAACAGAGACCGGCAGGCTTAATTCATGGGGAATTTAATTAATAACGGACTCTGCTTATTGCTGGTGCTGAGCCGAAACCTCAGCAAAATGCTCTCTCTTTGAAGGCTGGTGCAGCGTTGGAAAGTCTGGGCTTCGTTAAGTGGATCCATTGTGTGCTTTCCTATATGTGCGCCTTCGAATGAACAAAACGAGCGGAAGAGTTAACGTACAGACTCATCAGTGTGGGTCACCTGCACTCCAGTGCCTTTCGCCTGACAACAAATGACTCGCCAAGGCACCTGGGGCTCTCTTTGATGCCCGCCAGTAAAACCTGAATTTTACGTGGTGATGGAGAGAGGTCCAGGGCCAGCCCTGTGTACCTGGAGCTGGTTAGATGGGATGCTGTAAGCTGCAGGAACGTGGGTCTTCGTCCCGGGGCACTTGGGTCCTGGTGAACAAGAAAAGCACCAAGCCCTGGAGCAGAAAGTGGTGCCTCTCAAGGGGGTTCCACTGAGTCCCAAAAATAAAATGCAGCAGCCTCTGCAGTAAAGCAGAATCGGGACGGCTGCACAGGGATGCCGTCACCCGAAGGCTTTGTATTTTCAGGTAAATTGTCATAGTTGCAGGTGCTGTCTAGAAAAATCAGGCAAAGAGCTGAGTTTCATTTTCCTTCTCAGCTCATAATTTCTTTGTATGCCTTATAAATACTTTTCGTTCTGTGCTGTCAGTTTTGGTTAGTAAAAAGCGATTTATCAAGTACTCCCCTGGAATGTGTTTTAATGCATTTTATGCAGAATGACATTAATGACTTGACTTGTTAATATTTTATTTAACGGACATAGGAGTACATTCAATTTTACATGAGTGCGTGTCACGACGCAGGGCAGGGAACGCTGATGTGTCGTGAGGATGCGGTAGATGCGAATACAGACCGAGCGCAGCATTTCTGAAGACAGACTGCTCTGGTTGGGTCCACCTTCCTACTGCGGATTGCCTGCTGAGCTAATACTCACCTCCAGCGCGCTTTGGTTGGGGGCATTTCACGAAACCACAGTTTCAGCCGGGTTGGGAGCCTCGGTAAGCTCCAGTCAGATCAAATACCGTTAATTTTGATATTCTGGAGGTGATTGTTGCCTGTGGTTTCAGCCTGCAGTCTAGCAGAGGCTAGTTTCCTTCCTCCGCGTCTCGTTTCGGTGGAGTTCGTGTCGCACTCAAGACTTTTCCCATACAAGTCCGTCTCAGGATGCCGGATTTCGGCCGCGAGGTCCTGCAGCGCTTGCCGTGCCGCAGGAAGGACGATCCCGGGTGCGAGGCGAGCGGGAACGCGGCCACCCTGGCGCAGCACGGTGTTGGGGAGCACGTGCGGCTTTTGGCTTCTTCCCGACCGGCCGCCCCAGCCCTGGCACTGTTTCCACCCATCTCAAACGTACCCCTGCGCGTGTGATTCTGCTGAGCACGAGCAAGTTCACGGAATCAGCCCGTTCTGCACCCACGTTTTTCCGGCTGGTGGGAAGAGCTGCTGCAGCGGTCGAGTCCCTCCCGTGCTGGACGCGGGGAGGGGGGACAGGATCCCCCCTGGTTCATCATCGTGAGAAGCCTTGACGTGCCGCTGGAAAAAAAAAATCAGTGTCCCTGGTTAGGAACTGTAATCGCTGATAGCGTTTCCACCTACACAAGTAATTAAGATTCAGTAAGGCTGCTGTTAATGTATGCTGTTAAATTAGCTGCTGAGCATTACAACCTTATTACCTTAATTGAAAGTATTACCAGTTTTCCCAGTCCCGATCTCTGCCGTGCGGCGATCACGGCGTGGTCCAAGGGCTCGGTCTGCAGGGAGGTGCTAACGCACGTCCCGTGTCAGCCGTGCGCTGCCTTTTCCATCCTTTCCCCTGCGTTGTGGCACGAACAGGACGTGGTTCTGATGCCCGTTGGCTTAATAAAGGGAACAGGAGCTGCTGGCTATGGAGAGAGAGTTTGACTATAAAACCATTGCTGCTGCATCAGGAATAAATTCAGTAAGGAGAGCGTCCGCAAGCATATTTGCAATTTGATTTTTGTTCCGTGCCACATCACGACACATAAAAATATAGGTGACTTTTAAAATATACTTCTGCATTATCGCTTTACTTGCTCTTTTCAAGTGCTCATCTGAATATTTTTGAACTCTTTTTTAAAGAAGATGTTTGACTTTGGTGGGCCAAATTCCTAAGTGAGAGGTGTATGAGGTGTTTGAGAGAAGCGGGACTGTTAGTGTCTGAAGTTCAGGAAAAGGAAAAGTGGTTTTTTGGGAGTCTGTAGTACAGCTGGGGAATGGTAAATGTGTACATAGCAGTTAATTATGGTAAGCATAAACCCATCGAATTTGAGAATGCCATACATTGCTTGTTCTAAATGAATTGTTTTAACAATTTCTGCAAAGAAATAATAGTGCGGAAAGTCAAAAGAGACTATTACATGGTACATTAAAACTGTTCCTAAAGAGCACAGCAGCCCATGGTAAGAATCCCACAGCTCTGGTATTTTTAAGCGGAGCCCTTCAATTAAGCTTGAAACGGTCTGTTCAGATCTTCACGGAAGTGAATCAGTGCAAAGCAGAAACCCGACCGTAGAGACTCTAAAATTTGCAATTCCCTTTTTTTCTAGGAGGACAGGACAGAAATTACTTTAGCATCAATGGTTTACTGTAATGCTGGTGCACGTGTAATGTCAGTGATGCTAATGCAGTCTGTGATGCCAAGGGATTTATTAGGATGTTAAACCACAAAAGAGAGGAGAAGAAATCACTCTCTGACACTCAGCATGCTAGGGGAGACAGCAGCATCAGGGGACCGGGACATACACATTTATGCATTTATGTGCTGAATTCATGTCAGGTTTTGCCCTACATACCAGGAGTAAGAGCCCTCAGATTGCCATCTCTCTCTTTCAGGGATGTCCAGAAGGGAAACAGGCGTTTAATGTACATTCAGCCACACTTTGCCTTTTGGGTGAGAACATGTGAGATGAGGCAGAGAAGTGACTGCTTCTGTAATTCCGCTCTGAAATCGCCGCGCTCTTTTCCCAAGGTGAAAGAATAATGGAGTTAAGTTGTAGGTACGCTGCCAGGAGAAGAGAAGACAGCCCCACGCTGTCCTGGGGACTCTGCCACGCTCCGATTTGTACCGACCCTCTTTGTCTTGTTGCCAGGTTTGCTCCATTTGCAGAAACCAGAAAGCGTTTTGTTTTTCTGCCCTTCGTGCTCGCAAAGCACGGGCGGGGGATGGGGGACACGTGGCCCTTCCCTTAGCCCCTGCCATCGCGGTGACGCTGCCGGCACGGGGCAGGCGGCTCCTCGGCCCCCCAGGATGCCCCCCCAGGATGCCACCGGTGACTGCAGCCGGATCTGGGTGTCTGGGTGCTGGGCTTTGACCCCTCGGGGCTGTGATGCCACCCTGGTCCTCGCGGCCTGGCGAGGGTCCGGTTGAGGGGACGTAGCAGTTGGGATGCCGCCCCGGTACGGGGACTGGGACCGATGCGTCAGATGATGCACGAGGGCAAGGACCTGGGTTTGTTGTTGTCGTAGTTCCTAAAAGAGGTTTCTTGTTTCTCCCACAAAAAAAAAAATAGATTTTTGACCCAGCTAGTGGCCATCTCTTGGCCCAGGTCACTTCCTTATGGAAGGAGAAAAAAATTAAAGAGGGGAGAAAAAAAAAAAGAAGGAGAAAGAAATGAATGGGATCTGGTTTTGCAGCTTTTGCAGGTGTGGAGGAACTTCCCCGGCAGCATCATGTTCTCCTGTGATTGCAAAAGTCATTGAGCAATGTTTTGGGTGAAAACCTGTCTAGAAGGGCAAAATAGAACATTAGCGTGTAAATAATTACTTGACCTGTCGTGTGCTTAGCAGGCTAATATCCTCTCCAGAGGGAGGGAGGAGTGCACCAGGGCACTAAGAATAAATGCCTCAGAAATGGACCAAACTCTGCATTTTCCCAGGAAATCTAAACTGACAGAAATCAAAAATAATATCAGCCATTTTCAGCAGCCAGTGGGCAGCACGCTGTCTTGGGCAAAGGCCTTTTCTCCTTCACCTCTAATTCTGATTGCTGCCTGTCTGCTGGGTTTCTATTTTTAGATTTTTCACCTTTTCAGAGGCAGCAGAGTCTTGATTTCCTTGTCCTGCTGAGAACTGAAAAACACTCTCAGCCTTAAGTCCTTAAATTATAATTCTGAGCTGCAAACTGTTAAATGAGGAAGAAATAATTTTCCTGTTTAGTACAATAAATGGTGTTGAGAATAGCAGGTTTTGTATCTCTCGGGGCATCTCCGGGGACTGTTTTCTCAGGCTACGCCGTGCAGAGGTTGCATCCGTAACCCTGGATTTCTTCCTTAACCCTGACCACCTTCCCCCTTCCCTGAGACCCACCCAGGACAATTCGCTTTATTAGAAAGTCTGAAATAACATGGAGCAGAAAGGATGGTATCGGAAGAAAAGCCGTAATAACCGGCCGAGTATCAATCTCCAGTAAAAAAACGAACTTTGGTAGCAGTGTAAAAGCTATTACAATTGTTAAATGACCCATTTTTATTATATCCATAGATCAGCACCCGTCTCTTGCTTATTTTACTGTACATGACAATTAGTTGAACGCAGTTTGGAGACCGTTCTGAGCTGCGTGTGGAGAAAGGCGGCTTTTCTCCCCTTCTCACGCTCTCCTCGGCAGCACCTGCCGTTACAATCCCGCAGTCTCCTGTTCCCGTTCTGCGCGCGCACGCTCTGTAGGCGAATAAACGTCTTGTCTGCAGCGGATGTCGCAGAGATGTGAAGTTTGATCTTGGCTGAATAGGCGAAGCGCAAGCTGATTTTGTTGGGTTTAGTTCTTCAGCTCGGATGTTTTCCAGGGAACGTGCCGAGAGACTGTTTCTGCGACTTTCCTTATAAATTGCTTTGCAGCTTCCGTTTGAGATGTGCATGAATCTGCTTAATTGCCTGGGGTTTGTTTTGGGTTTTTTTTTTTTTTCCTTCCCTGCAATCTGTGCCCAGAGGCAGAGCAGTGATTTGGGAGAGAAACGCTGTTTGAACCAAGAGCTTTTCCTGCGCAGGGAGCCGTGGGTGCTGCTCCTGCTCGGGGGTCTTTTTGTTGGGTCCAGCGACCCCTTCTGAGGGTGCACCTTTGGCCCTTCGTCCCCGTTTCTGTCGCTCTGGGGGGGGTGTGTTTGCATGGTTTCGTTCGGTGCTGCTGACACCGCTTGTCTCCTTTTTTGCTAGCAGGAGATAAACCATGGGTGCATACGACCGGTGCGTTTCTCCGGGGTCCAGCGCAGTCGCCTGCCCTGTCTGCTCTCGCGTTAACTTCCTCGGCCAACTGCGCTGCCGCGCTTGGATCACGTCATCCGCGATTCGCATAGCAATAACATAAACCGCAGTATATTTACTTGGAAAATCATTTGTAGCCGTGGCGATCAAATAGATAATGAAATGGAAAGCAGCAGAAGCAGCTGAGATAGTTGTTAGAAAGTAAAAAAAAAAAAAAAAAAGGAAATACCCCCCCCCAAAAAACCAAAAAACACCGACAAAATTTTGTAATGTTTCTCCTGTGAACCCACTGAGATGTTATTTCTAGCTCAGTGGTACTCAGTTGGCCAGCAGCAAGAGCAACAGCTTTATAAATAGTTGGTTGTTATTGTATCCGTGAAGGGCTAAAATTAGCAAAGCGAGGGCTGCTCGGCGGTCAGGGGCTGTAGACAGGTATTGCAGCCAAGAGTAAATCCGTCAGGCAAACGAGCTCCTGGCTTCCAGCTTTTGGATGGCCACCTGGTACCTGCGCCGGGCTTCTAGCGCTGACCTTCAGACAAAGGCTGATAGGACAAGAGGAAACGGCCTCAAATGGCTCCGGGGGAGGTTTAGATTGGAGATTAGGAGAAATTTCTTCACCGAAAGAGCGGTCAGGCATTGGAACAGGCTGCCCAGAGAGGTGGTGGAGTCACCGTCCCTGGAGGCGTTCAAAAAACGTGTAGACATGGCACTTCGGGACATGGTCTAGTAGACATGGTGGTGTTGGGTTGACGGTTGGACTTGATGGTCTTAGAGGTCTTTTCCAACCTTAATGATTCTAGGATTCTACTCTATGAGTCGCTGGCTCTCAGAGATCAGCGGCCGGGGAAAAAAAAAAAAAAAAAAAGTTGTTCCTAAGTGATCTGGCTCCTAAATACACTAACAAGGAATTGCCCTGAATTGTGCTCACTACCAAAAAACCAGAGGAATAAATGGGGCCTCGTGTGCTCGTTAGTCTGAGTGCAATGATGCTTTGTGAGAAAGCCATAGAAGGGCGATGCCCGCGCTGATGAACGCGGGGACCGCGGTCTCCAGGAGGGATTTGCCTTTGAACCCTGCTTGGTTCTGCTCGATTTGTGCTTTTTAAAAATATCCCTTTAGGCTTCACTAATGCTTGGATACCCTGGCCTGGAAAAGTAAATAGACGGGTTACTGTAAAGAGAAACGTCTGGGAAACTGGAAATGAAATTTGAGATCTGAGTACCTTCTAATTAATTAGAAGTTTGCTAGGGGCAAGAGTTAATGCTTTTTTTTTTTCTTTAATTTTTTTTTCTCCCTCCCCCCCCTCCTTTCTTCAGCCATGTTCACTCATTTGTACTTTCCAGCTGCCATTTTGATTCTGAACAGCCTGTAGCCCAGGCACAAAGACATTTTTCCTCCCTGTGCAGCCCTGAGCTTGCCCTCAGCCTACACCGAAACACGCAGCCGGTGCGGAGGGCAGCGCGCAATTAATGACTCTGGGTTTTCTTCGCAGGGCTGAAGCGCAGCTACACGTGCAACATCTGCAACGTCACCCTGAACTCGATAGAGCAGTACCACGCGCACCTGAAGGGCTCCAAACATCAGACCAAGTGGGTATCTTCGTGCTCTTCCCGGTGGCCTTCTGTCTGTCTGCGTCTGCCTGGATGAACGTACATATAATAACGCTTTACGCTCCGAAAACGCTGTCATCTGAGGAGTCTGGGTGGTTTTTGCAAACACCCAGAGGCACCTCCGGTTTGAGAAAGGCAGGGCTGAGCCCGGGGGGGCTCCCCACAGTCCCACCGAAGCGGGGAGCTGTTTGTTCTTCGTTTCCTGCCGGTCACGGCATGCCCCGCCGAAATCCTGCCGTCGGCTTGTTGCGCTTTCCGCGCAGCCCGCTGCGTTTCGCTGCCGGAGGCTTGTCCCGGTTTCCAGGGTTTTGCCTGCTGACTCCGGGGTCATCCTGCACGCTGGGCTGGGGGGTCGTCAGCCTGCAGATGTCCCGGGGACAGGAGCTCCTCTCTGGAGAGATGAAGTGTGTTAAGGGATGTCCTGCTTTCCTGAGCATCTTCCTTCTCTCCTGAAGACCCCTCCTGTACCCCCCTTCTCAGGAAACCCCCGCACAAAGCTATCGTTCTGCACGTCCTCTGGGACGTCCCTCGTCCTCAGCTCGTCCTTCACGGGGTATCGGCTTGCGGGCAGGAGCACTCGTACTTGTGCCCTCCACAGCGCTGTACGCGTTTACAGCACAGAGTACCTTATAGCTTTGCACATCTCTTCCCCGCGTCCTCAGCCGGGTTATGGGTCTGTCGTCCCTCCCCACTGAAACGTGTCAGAGGATGTTGGGGAACCCAAATGTCTGCCCGTCCTCTCCTGGAACTGAGTGGTGCTTGCTGGTTTGGGATGGATGAAGAAATGGGCAGCAGTGACCCGAGACCTTAACGATGTCTGGTCCTGATGACACAAGCGTTCGTGCCTAATGATACGGAGTTTGCACCTTCTTTCGTGTGTTAAACCTCAGAAGAGACACAGGGAGTGTAATGGGATTGGGTGTTTCCAAGTGAAAATATTTATGCTGTGATTTAGAGCAGTTATATATTACCCAACTTTGAGACTTGGAGGGAGTCAATTAGTACAAATTATTAAAATGAAGTGATAAAGATACATGGTACCAGAGAGTAGATTAACGAACTAATCTCTCTTAATACACTTACATGTGAGCTTTGGGAACCGTTTCAGGCTGAAGCACTCAGGACTGCCCAGATTAGAAGAGGGATATAAAAGGTGTCATTAGTTACTGAAACACTTCAGGTAGCTTTATGGGCGGTCTGCAAGATGAGGCAGGATGATCAGAACCAGCAATAAGTACTAATGTCTAATTTTGTATAAGCTACTAAAGGACAAATGCAGACCTTCACCAGCTGATGTTAGACCTTTAAAGATTCCCGGTATTATTCACGTTCTATCCTATTTATTCATGGAGCATTTGAATGTCTTCCAAATTCCTACCCTTCCTGGACCTGAGCGTGTAGTCATATTCAGGATCTCAATTAGCGGAAGGAACTAATGGCGTCAGATTTTCTAATGAGGTGGTGTTCTCCCCCCGCTCTTCGCAAAGGATGCTGAAGTGGAAGGAGAGGCGGTTGTTGAGTGGCCGCAGGGATCCGGCACGCCTACCAGACTAGATGTTTTGGTGGAGGAGAGGGCTGGGGTCAGGCAAGCGAGACGTGGTTTTAGGCTGTGCCACGAGCAATCTGGGACCTTCAGTAAGTCCTTTACGGCCTTTGTCTCCCTTTCTCTTTCCGTACATCGGTGCTGGTGGTGAACCCATGGTTACGTGGCAGGTTACGTGCGCAGCGTGCAGGATGGTGCTGTCGGGGTCCCTGTCCGCACCCAGGGCGACAAGCTCCCGCTGCTGGAAAATAGACGTGGCAGCTCTTCCCGTTGGAAACCTGGAATGAGAGCGGTTGTGATGTGCACAGAGCTGTAATTTATCCTTCCCCTGCCAGTCCTTCTGAGTTTGTATTATTATTGCTGCTGTTGCTGCTGGTATTATTGCGGAGGATAATGGAGTTTATTTCAAATCAGAGCAGCCTCATGGACGGGAAATATGGATGTGCAGACGAGATGCGCTCCTTTTCAGCGTCGGGAGGGTGCCTCGCATCCTCTGTGTTATACCCACACCTTCTGCTTCTGTTTTTCAATCACCTGCAATTAGCAAAGTGTCATTGCAACACTTAGTTTCTGCAGAAAGATAATTCCTTCTGCATCTATTGCTTTCCCAAATGTTTTCTTCTGACTGACAAAAAATTGGAAAGATGAAGGATCTTTCTGCTTCATCTCTTTTTCTGTAGCTGGAGTAGGAGCCTACCGGAGCGTATTCACTGCAGAGCTCGGGACTGAAGGGAATATCTGGGTAGGAGTTGAGACAATAATTGCCATTCCCATTCCTTTATCGCTGCCCATCAGGGAGAAGACCCTCAACTCCGTGGCGGGAGGCCAGGCTGTAGGATGGAGAAACTGGGAACCCCATTCCGTGGCGGCGGGGGAACCCCATTCGTTGGCGGCGGGGTGGGGGGGGTGGGGGATTTGCTGCCGTTCAGCAGAACGACCTCCCGCGGTCGCTCAAACTCTGCCTTTCCCCGAGCAGAGACGCCGGGGAGGCGGCGGCGGGGGATGATGAAGCAGCAGGGTACGGACGAAGACTGCCCTGAACGCGCGGGGCGGTCGGGAAGGAGAGAGCCCAGGGTGCAGGGAGGGCTGGGGTTGGTTTCCGGAGGGTCCCGGTGTCCCAGCAAGCCAAAGAGCATCGCACTGGTTTAGTGTCAAGGCTCGGTGGCACTCGCAGTCGTTCCCAGAGCTTCCCGGAGCTCTGAAAGCACATGAATTATTGACAGAAAGGCCCATTTCTCTTTCATCTCAGTGAGGATGAAGCCAGCCGGTGCAGGGAACACCAGACTGGCGCAGAGGCCTGCAGGACTCAGGCTTTTTTTTTTTTTTTAAAAAAAAAGGACTTTCCTCTTTTGCAAGTTAATATTCTTATCAGTCTTTCTAAATTTAGTTTCTTATCGTTTATTCATAATGACTTAAATCTGGTCCCAAGGGATTTTCATGGGCATTCAGTGCAAGAGGAAACAAAGTAATAAATTCAAAAGAAAGTATGTTCCAAATGTAATAATGCCATGCCAATTACAGACATTTGTCTGACCAATTTCTATGGGAAATTGCTCCGATTATTCTATTTCCTCCACCCGTTGTTCGTTCTTACACAATTTTCTTTGAGGCTAAGCATCCGAGCACGGCAGAGCTCTCTCCAGCGCCTATAGGAAAGTGCAGAAGCGCGGGAGACAATAGATTGGCAGCTTGGGTTTGCGCACAACAAAAGCTCTTCCCAGCCTGTAATTAGTATGTAACCAGATTTTACTCTCCTTGTTTAAAGCTGGTTTTGCAGCTTCGTTGTCCTCTATATGGGACTGAGGGAATGAGTTACCCGTATCTTTTATCTGGAATCGGTTCTCCCCCCCGGCCCCCCAAAGTCTACGGGGTCGTACCAGCCACGTGCGCTGCTGAACGCAGCTGGACCCGGTGATGCAGCCCCAAAACGAGCCGGGGGAGGCTCGTGACCGTAATTTTTCTGTTTGCCTCGTACGCGGAGATGACCTCGTACGCGGTGTTGTACAGAGCCGGCTGCACAGGTTGGGCGCTTGTGATAATAGCAGGTAGCAAAAGAGTTCGGGAAGGTAAAGCAGTTCGTACAGCTCGTGTTCCTGACTACAGAAATCATCTACAGCGCAGACAAAGACGAAGAAATCTTTATTTTTAGTGCTGTGAATGAATACGTTGTGAAACGTTATTCCACGTCGCGTCTTGGCTCTTGTACGGGCAACTGAAGGCACGCGTGCCCCCAGCCCTGCTTCCAACACAAAGCGATGAGCAGGGCAGCAGAAACAGCAGATTTTGTCAGGGCTGCATCTACGGTTTTGCAGCTTTCTACAAGTGATTGCCTCTTCTAGACAAAGCAAGTTAATTTTGAAATCCTGACCTGGTACTTCTGCCGAGTTTCCACCGCCACTTTGTCCCAGAGCAAGGCTGGGTCGTCGCGGCATCTCGGCTCTCCGGTGCAGGGTGAAGCGAATGTAAATGTGCTCGGTGTTGGGGTGCCAGGCGAGGAAGCCCCCCCTCCGGCAGCCCTCCCGTATACCTCGGCGAGTGTTTTGCCCACTGGTTTTTGCTCTTCTCGTTATTGTTGGTTAGTGTCAAGACTGTCCTCTTCCTTATAACTCAGTCTGAAACCAGTGGATTGCAGTTGCCAAGGCAACAAAATGTTTTATGGAGCTGTCATACTTCATATAATTAAAAAAAA